GGCCAGGAGTTCAGACTTTATTCTACAAGGGGAATCCAGGAGCAGGATTAGGCAGGAGAGTGACGTTACTGGATTTCCAATTTAAACACTGGCTCCCGAGGTGGCAGAGAAGGGAATACGGAGGAGGAGGGGAGAGACTGGGGTGGAAGATGTGACAGGAGCCACTGTGTTCGGGAAGAGCTGACAGCTGCTTAGACTAGGGTGGTAAATGTTGAAGCCAAGTGGAAATTCTTTGGAGGAAGAGTCAGCAGGCCGTACTGACAGCCTGCACACAGCGGGTATCGAAAGGAAAGATTAAAGGATGGCGTCTGGAATTTCGATGAGCAAATGCATGGATTGAGAGTACCCTTTTCTACTGTTTTGCCTCTTTGCTGGGTCCTTCTCCTGGTAGAACGTGAAATGCTGCGGTCCCTGGGGTTCCTGAATCATAGGTCATTTGTCTTCTCCCCCTACATTTTCTCCTGAGGTGATCTCAGTGACTCCCAGGGATTCAACTGGCACTCGGGGTAGAGACCATGAAACCCCCTCTCCTCTTCATACGTCCATATCCCTCCCGTTACCAAGCTCTGACACTCCACCTCCAGGATCTACCACGAAGGCTGATTTTTCTCCATCATCACTGTCTTCATTGCATCTCACTGATATTGTTCCCATCTCTGTGTAATTGGCCTCTCACTTCTACCACGGCCCCACCCATTAGTCCCTTATTCATACAGTTTTCAACAAATCCGGTCATGTCTCTCCCTGTTAAAATTCTGGCCTTCCTCTGCACTTAGGGATAAAGTCCAAACCCTCACCAAAGCCTACAAGGCATGATCCCATCCCCCTGCAGTCCCGCCTCAGGCCACATCCTCTCCATTCTCTACAGTCTGGTCACTCTGGCCATCTTTATGTTTCTCAAAAATGCCAAACTTGGCCGGGCATGGTGGCTCATGCCTGTAATCCCAGCACTTTGGGAGGCCGAGGCGGGTGGATCACCTGAGGTCGGGAGTTTGAGATCAGCCTGGCCAATATGGTGAAATCCCGTCTGTACTAAAAATACAAAAATTAGCTGGGCGTGGTGACACATGCCTGTAATCCCAGCTATTTGGGAGGTTGAGGCAGGAGAATAGCTTGAACCCGGGAGACGGAGGTTGCAGTGAGCCAAGATTATGCCATTGCACTCTAGCCTGGGTAACAGAAGCAAAACTCCGTCTCAAAAAAATAAAACAAATGAAAAACAACAACAACAAAATGCCAAACTCCTCTTTCCTGTCTCTGGGAACCCAGCACACCTTGGCCCCTGACGGGAAGTATGTTTACCCCTTGTGGTACGGCTACTTTTTACCTGTCCTTAATGTCCACGTCCTCAAGGAAGCCTCCCACTATTTAATTCCTAGCAAGCGCTTCTTCTCGGTGCTGAGACATGGTCTGAGCAGCCAATGCCATGCACGGTGACTGTGAAGCCTGCTTCCCGCAGGTGGCGAGCTTCTGGAGCACAGAAATCCTGCTCTGCTGGCTCAGCACTTGGCATACATACCGCCTTGCATGGCAGAGTTGGTGCTTTCTAAATATTTGCTGAATAAGGTAAGAGAAACACTTTCACACAGTAGCACTTTATTTTTTGGGCATGACTTCGTAATGAGAAATGCAAGGACTTCAAAAAACCAAACATCTTCATTCTATGAAAAGTCTCAAAAACCTAGTTATTATCCTGGACTAAAGATGGCAACATGGAAAGGTAATTCAAATTCTTTCTATTCTTCACCCCACAGAAGGAATCCAGTTTACTCAGTACCCATGAGACAATCATGTTCTCTCTGGTCATTGGGATAATGGCAACAAAATCCCATTTTTATGACTCCCCATATCTGGCTGGCAGCCACAGCTTTCAGGGAAAAACTTTTAAAAGTGGTATGACAAAAGTTTAGAAGTTGGAACACGTGACTAAATGGCTAAAGGGCTACTGAGCTTGTTAAAAGCAACTTACATGTGCTCAAATAAAAAGCAGAATACTGCAAGGATCCCCATGAAGTCTCTCCTGATCCTGAGATTCTATGACCCACACGCCCCCTGTGATTGTCCATCTCTGGACCCTCTCTCAACATTCAACTTCCCTAGACGGTGTCGCTTCATTCACTCCTTCCCTCCCACCCCACCTTCCCTTTACCTAATCCCTTTCATTTCTTTTCTTTTCACCCATTTCTCCGATCTTGACATATCTCCCTACTTAATCATCGCAAAGAAGTGGATACACGTTTCAGTATTTGAGGTGATTTATAAGTATCACATTTCCTATTAAATCTCTTAATGTGTTTAGAGAAAAACTGAACAAAATTGAGTTTGGACTTTTTCTTCCCCCAGTTCTTTGATTGTATCATATTTTAAGTAGCTCTTTGACTTTCAGACCATTTATTCAGTCCTATGATGACAAGGAAAGACGGATCAGCACAAGAAATCATTGACAAAATCAAGCACTGGAAATCCATGCAGTGAAATCACTGACCTGTACGTGCCTGGGCACCTACTTCCACTGCAGACTTCTCCTAGTTCACATGTTGATCACCACATGCACGTGACTGCAGCCTTCAGAGCCTGATAATGCTGCTCTGGGTAAAGCTGTTTACTATTTCTAGAAATTGGCTAGCCTGGGAGGGGCAGTCTCTCCAGGGTCAGAGAAGACATTGCATGTCTGCTCTAGTAAGAGAAGCCAGATAGTGTATGTTCCAGCCGGTGAATTATGGCCAGTCATAGCAAACCCATTTTTCCTGGACACATATTCACCTTCTCAGCCTCCCCTGCAGCTAGAGAAACACAAATGAAATTAATTCATGGTCTTACCACTTCCCTGCTTCCTGCTTGTGACGTGGTTATGTGAAGATGTGATGTGTGGAGCTGCAGCAGCCACATTACAGTTACAAGTAGAGACCCAAGTGTCACATAGATGCTGACCCAAAGCTGCTGAATAAACCTTGGAACTGGCTACATTAGACATCTTGTTAAGTGAAGCAGTAAGTGCCTTTTGCTCAAGTCTCTATTAAGCAGTGTAGTTATTAACCATGTGTTTTATTTTCCGTATTCAGATGCTCTGACAATATCTTGAGCCCTTGCTGACCATAGAGGGACTGCCCCTCCCAGGCTAGCCAATTCCTCGAAAGAGTAAACAACTCACTCAAAACATGCTTTTTAAATTCAAACCAATCTAGAGCTCATACTTCAACAACCTCCTCTAAGGGGCTCTCATACCCCAGGCCCCCATCCATCTACCCTAATCACCTAACTGGGAGGTCAAGTACCAGACAACTAGAAATAGTCCTTAATAAATCAAACTAATCAGTCCTAAATCTTCTGCAGACACCACAACAAAGGCTTTGGCCCACAATCCCCTCCTCTACCTCCTGACCAACCCTAGAGTTTCCCCTGTGGCCTCCCTGGGTGATACGGCCTGTCCCCTTCTCTTGGGAAGGGTGAATAACTATCTCTCATTGGCAGTCATCTCTCGATCTGCTGGCTTTGCCATAGCTCAGATCTTCCATCAATACCGTGTACTTCAGATCACTCAGGGACCCAAATGTCTCCTTACTGATATAGTATGTAGGACTCTCAATCCAGTGAAAACTCCACCAATCCAGGTAACTTCATCTCATCTGAGAAAAATAATGTTAGTACTAATCCACCTACCAACACCAAAGGCTGCATTCAAGCCTCTGGTGGTAGCATTCAGACGATACTCTCGATACCAAAACACACTGTACTTTGGACCAGTTATTTTAAAGATAGTGCTTCTTGGAGCAAAAGAAAGGAGATGGATCAAAGGCAGACTTGGCTCCAGCACCCCCATCCAGAACTGTTCCTGGCGCCCCCATGCGATGTGGGTTTGATAAAAGGGTTTCATGCCCAAAGTCGTTTTGCAAACTCTCCCTTCAGATGGTTCAGGTTCCCCTTGCTGAATTCCTGATACATGCAGAATTATTTCTATAGATATTTTTCAGAGCTGTGAAGTTTTATTTATACACATACAAATGATTCCTGCTGGGAATATTAAGAAATAAGAAACCAGGGCTTGGAAAAAAAAAAAAAAAGAAAGAAAGAAAGAAAGAAAAGAAATGACCGGTAGGGCAAGCAGAGCGGGTTTTTGCACTGCAGCAGGACATGGGAAGAAGTATTGTGGCCCATCACGTCACAGTTAACAGAAACGAGACGAACAGAAGCTAAGGGGCATCAGGGACACCAGGGGGAAATGGAAGTTGGCAATAATTGCACGTCAAAGAAAAAAGTCTAAAAGATCACAATCATGTAGATTATCAACTCAAGAAGGAGGAGAAAAACCTAAATTGCGTATCCCTTGTCATAAAGCCAAGGGAATGTCTAAGAATATCTTTTAATCTTTGGTGGAGTGGAGACGGATGGGGTCAAGAGGAAGATGAACCTGCAGAGACTGTTCATATGGGGGGGGGGGTGTTTAAAGGGAATTGCGTTATACAATGGCTGTTACTTCTAATGTAGGTTATAGACATGGGCATTCAAGTTGTTTTATTTAGCAGGCTCTCTTTCTTGTGTCTCATTATAGTGAAAACAATTTTCAAGGGCCTTTAGAGGTCACTTGCAACCTCTAAAACCACAATGTAATTTTTTTCCATGAGATCTTAACATACTGTTAAGGCGAATGCAATCAATCAATGAGCTGAATCAGGGGTCAGAAAATCCATCAAGGATAAAGCTTCCCTAGAGGTGAGATCCCAAGCTCATCTCTGCCATCTTCCCAGTTGGTCCAGTCTGGGGAGGACAGGGAGGGGACCTCACTTTGCCTGGGGAGGGCAGGGGATGTTTCAGGCTGAGCTAAAGAGCAGGAACAGTAGGGAGGGTTGTCACTCCACAGAATCAGGGAGCTAGGGCTGCTGAGTCAATTCTCAGGCATGTAAGCAGCTACATAAACAGCTACGACCAGGAGGGTCACACAGGTAGGATCCTTGTCCTCAGCAGGCAAGATGTAAGCTCCCTGGGGACAGGAGGGCACTTACAGAGCGCTTGTCAGCCTCTGCCCCTTGCTGGCCCTGCAGACATGCGGTGAGCTTCTTGTGCGTGCTGTGCGACACCTGTTTCACCAGCTCCAGACGCTTCTCCACCTGCAGAGAGAAGAGCAGGGGGTGTCACTGGGAGAAGGCAAGGTCAGGGGAAGAGGGGTTGTAGGTGTGGACAATCACAACTCATGTTTCCACGGAGATAAGGACTCCTGGAGAGACAACTTTCAATGCCGGAGAACTGGAGGGGCAGGAATCACAGACTCCAGGATCCTTGGGCTAACTGTGTGGTGAAATGACTTTAAACCTCTCCTGAAAGAGCTTAACCTAAACCAGTATTCAACATGCCAAGTACTGTCGTAAAAGACAAACAAACAAAAAAACAACTTCTCTCCAAACAGTTTGTAAGGAGCAGCTGAAGCAGTTTTAACTGCATCGGGGATGGTTTAGTTTTAAACAGAAAAGTATCTCTGGGGGCTGGGAGCCAGCATCAGTGACCGCCTTACCTGAAGAAGGTCTTCACTCAAAACTTCTGTCTTTTCGGCCCTAAAAAGAACATTAAGAAACATATCAGTAAGAAAATGAAGAACAGAGCCTCATAATTACTTCCCAGTCTCTTCACTTAAGCCAACACCAGAAAAACAGAGACATTAGTAGAAGAAACATCTAAGAAGAGAATAGATAAAACTAGAATTTACTAGGAAATGTAAAAAACCAACACACCAGCAAACACAGCAAAGCAGAAGACTTTTCTGCTATAGATTGGAACCTGGATTCATGACAATAAATGTCTGCCTTTGTTTCCAGACGTATACATATATATATATATATATATATATATATATATATATATATATGTATTTAAGTATCAGAATTAAGGTTTCCACACCCATAACCCTTGGCCTTCCCCAAAGAAGCTAATGTAGCAGAAATCTGAGAAAGGATCAATTAACAACAAACTCAGGGACCGTATTGAATCCCGGCAACTAACACAAATGCCACCACCAAGGTCTGGCAACCAAGCATTAGGTCCACCGGACCTAATTCAAGCATTAGGAAAGTGGAGTGCTTGAACCTGAAATTTCTACATTTAGAGAAAGACCCTGGATGTGTGGGTGACACCCCCCACAGGCACCGAGGAAGGAGAACTGTGCAGACCCCAGGCACAATTAGTGCCTAAAGTATAACTCACTGCTTACTTATATCTAGCTTATATATACATAATCATACTTAGTCCCACATAATCTTTCTATATAATCATATAACTTACTGCTTACTATATTTAGCTTATATATATAATCATGCTTAATTCCATATAATCTTTCTATATAATCATATAGGTATTATAGTCAGAGCTGTACTGACACATTTAGTGCTAATTTATAGAATCCTTCTGTATAACCATATAGTAGTTTATAGCAGGAGGAATGCCTAGAGCAGTCACAGAACAGAAGCAGTACATGGGAAAACAGCCAGACCAGGACAAGAACCAAAGACCCAGGTGGCGGCGTCCCTGCCTGAAAGGGCAAACGCTGCATGGCAGGCTTGGAGCAAGAGCTTCTCCTCCTGATAAAGGAGTTGTAGTACCTTTCATCCAGTTCCTGTGGAAAGCAGGCCTCAGGCCTGAGATCCCACAAATAACCGAGGGAGAAGAACCCCTCTGGTGTGACCAGTCACAGTGGCTGTACACCCTATCAGTCTTTTCTCACTTCTGTGCTAGCTCAAATCATCCTCCCATAAATATCTTAAGAGAAGAGCACAAGTCTGTCAGCTCCCACTGCACTGGCTTACAATATCTTTCCATTAGAAACCCTTTGAAGTATCCAGCCCCCAGACAGAAAATGTTGTGCACGACACCTGTTGCACACAGCCTACCTCCTTGTCTTGGTGACCTAATGCGGTTGGACCCCTTTTCTGCACACGACCCTCTACTACTGCTTATGGCATGGCCCCCTCCTGTGCATGGCCCACCTCTCTGCCCAGGTAATGGGATGGCCCCCTCGCTGTGACTCACACGATTATGTATGCCCTATCACTAGGCTTATAGATGATGACCTCACTTACGACCCTTCCCCCTGCTTGTACCTAATAAATACAGATGCTTCTGGGGGTTTGGGGCCAAACCTGTCTCTGCTCACAGGTGGTGTGGCCCCCCAAGTCCAGCTGCTCTTCTCCAGTTCTTCAATGTCCTGTCTCTTTACTTCTCAGATCCTGCACCTCAGCATAGCATAAGGCACACCCCATGACCCTGTGGGGCCAAGGGCCCTACATGGATGCTAGTGGAATTGGACCCAGCTAACCCGTTAGCACTTCCTGCCTCAGGTCAGAGGAGGGTGCCAATTCTCTCAGGAACGAAGCATTCTAATTTAATGCTATCTCTCTCTCTCTCTCTCTTTCTCACTTTCACCTTCTCTGACACACGCGCACACACACAAAGACTCTCTCTTTCTCTCTCTCTCTCACATACACACAAACACAGCAAATTCACATGAAAACAAACCATCAAGATTTAAAAGTACAAAGAAAGAAACAACATATGAGAAGCATAAAGAACTTCAGCTACTGAAATTATCAAAGACTGTAATACACGTATAAAATATCTAAGAACAAATGATATATTTAAAAAATAAGCAGTAGAACTTCTGCTTCCAGGAAGAGGGAGTGAATATATTTTAGCAATTTTTCTACTGGCTGGGAACCTTCAGAATAACATGGCAAAGAAATAACATGGTAAAGGTGTTGTCCTTCACATTTTTCAGACTTGGAGCATAAAAAACTAGCACCTAAAACATCAACAGGCTCAAGTAAAACAAACCCCAACAAAATCCTGGTCTCTGTAGACAAATAACCAAGGAGCAGCCTAGCAAGACAGACACTTTTTAGAAAACCGCTCACTGCAGCCAACACCACAGAAAAGAACTGTTGTCCTACTCCACCTATGCCAGCCAACGCTGAGTAGGGAGCCCTGACTTCTACCCCTACCAGGGAGGAACATGCACTCAAGCCCGTGCCCCTCATCAGTGTGGGTGCACCTGAGAACACTGAGAAACAAAAAGAGAACATCCATCTAGGGAGTAGGAGCGTTTATCACTGCTAGGCAACTGACAAAGCCATCTTCTTCTGCTGCAGGACCAGTGGAAATCGCATGGCCACCTGGACACCTAGGCTCACATGCTGATAATGAAGCATCTCTTCACCTTCCCATTGGGATGGTGTCACAAGAGTCCCAGTGGACAGACAGGACTCTTGCCAATGCCCAGCAATAACGAGGCCACTCTCTTCTGCAGTGTTAGTGAAAGCCAAGTAGGGAACAACAATGAGATACTCATAATCCCCCACCAGCCAGTGAGGTGGCAGTGGAAGCCCACAGGAGAACCAGAGCTCCCACACCCACCCAGTACTAACAAGGAGCACCTTCATCTTTGAAGGGTCAATGAAGGCCAGCCAAGTGGGTAATCCGGACTTCTAATCCAATTCATCACAACAAAACAGCACTGATCTTCCCTATTAGAGTAGCATCAGAGAAAGCCAGCTACAAGACAAAGTTTAAATGAGATCCAGAGTCTCATATTAAAATAGCTATAATATCTAGATTTCAATTCCTCATCACACCAAGAACCAGAAAAAACTCAAAAGGAAAAAGACAACAGATGCCAATTAAAGTATTCACTATAAAAATGCTTCAGTGTGTAGTAGTAAACATGCTTGAAACAAATAAAATAGAAAGTCTCAGAATGGAAATAGAATATGTAAAGAAGAAACAAATACAAATTTTAGAGCTGAGGCCAGGCACAGTAGCTCGTGCCTGTAATCCCAGCACTCTGGGAGGCGGAAGCAGAAGGATCACAAGGTCAAGAGATCAAAACCATCCTGGCCAATATGGTGAAACCCTATCTCCACTAAAAATACAAAAATCAGCAATTATCTGGGCATGGTGGCGTGCACCTGTCATCCCAGCTACTTGGGAGTCTGAGGCAGAAGATTTGTTTGAACTCGGAAGGCAGAGGTTGCAGTGAGCCAAGATTAAGCCACGGCACTCCAGCCTGGCAACAGAGCCAGATTCCGTCTCAAAAAAAAAAAATTTAGAGCTGGAAAATATAGCAATCTTAATAAAAAAATAAATAAATAAAACTCAGTTGATGGATTCAACAACAGAATAAAGGGGGCGGATGAAAGAATCAGTGAAATGGAAAAAGCATAATAGAAATTTTCCAATCTGAACTACAGGGAAAAAATCAACCCAACAAATTCAACAAACAACAAAAGCCTCAGGGACCTGTGGGGCTATAACAAAAGATCCAATGTTTCATGTCATCAGAGTCCCAGAAGAAGAGGGGAAAAACTGGTAGCTATATTAGACTAGGTTGGCCAAGAAAAAAAAAGTTAAAAAAAGATAGGCTAAAAATACTCAGAGAAATAATGGCTAAAACTGTCCCAAATGTGGCAGTAGACACAAACCTACATATTTAAAAAGATGAACAAACCCCACAAAGGATAAACATAAAGAAATCTTCACCAAGACACATCATGGTCAAAGTTCTAAAAACTAAAGACAAATCTTGAAATCAAGGTGAAAGAAATGATACCTTAACAATGGGGGAAAAGCAATTAGAATCACAGCAGATTTCTCACGAAGAATGGAGACTCAAAGGAAGTGGCACATCATTTTTTCAGGGCTGAAAGAAAGAAACTGTCAACCTAGAACCCTTTACCTAATGAATCTATTCTTCAGGAATAAAGGGGAAATCAAGACAATCTCAGGTATACAAAAATTAACAGAATTTGTCATCAGCAGGCCTTGTATTGCTAAAGAGAGTTATCTAAAAACCACCCAAAGGCTGGGCACGGTGGTTCACGCCTGCAACCCCAGCACTTTGGGAGACCGAGGTGGATGGATCATCTGAGGTCAGGAGTTCAAAACCAGCCTGTCCAAAATGGTGAAACCCCATCTCTACTAAAAATACAAAAAATTAGCCAGGAGTGGTGGTATGTGCCTGTAATCCTAGCTACTCGGGAAGCTGAGCCAGGAGAATCACCTGAACCTGGGAGGCGGAGGCTGTAGTGAGCCAAGTTTGTGCCACTGCATTCCAGCCTAGGAAACAAAGGTGAGACTCCATTTCAAAAAAAAATGATAAAAGAAGGAAACTTGAAATACCAGTGGGGGATAAAAAACATGATGAGCCAAGCTATGGGTAAATGTAAGTCTTCCTTCTTTTAAGTTTTCTAAATTATATGTGATGGGGAAACAATACTTATAACATTGTCTAATGTGGTTCTAAATGTATGTAGAGGAAATATTTCATATACTTATAATGAAGGGAGAGTAAAGGGACATAAAGGGAGGAAAAATATCACTCAAACTGGTAAAATGATGACAGCAGCAGACAACGATAAACTATGTATATAGCATGTGACACCTAGAGCCACCTCAACAATACTGCTAAGGTTCTAATGTGTTCCCCAAAGTTCTTATGTTGAAAACTTAATCTCCAACGCAGCAGTACTGAAAGGTGGGGCCTCATGGGAGCAATATGGATCATGAGAAC